GTAACCTCAACATACTGACTTGATATGTAATGTATTCCTGATTTCCTGTATTGAAGGTTGAACACGAGAAATTTTATTGTTCTATTTGTATTTACACATATTGATTGACGAATAGGGTTCACTTTGACAAGGAAATCGGTCAAATGCAATGTAAATACGCGTATGTTTAATTTTCAGATATGAATCCTAATAACTACAGTATTAATTAATTAATTAATAAAATATTTTCAATACAACATTGACAAATACTGTATTGTCTCTCCATTTAGGGGGGACTTTATCTTGCAATTGTATGTTCAGTTTGCATGTCGACTGACCAAAAAAAGATAAAATTCATGCACAGCTGCACGATTAACAACTAAACATTTTATCGATAACAAAAACACATCAACAAAACTACACAACGGTGACTGCAGAGATAGCACAAATTAAGATGGCAAATCTATTCATTTTCTCTATAAATTATTACTAGACGCGTTCCGCTAGTTGTACACCCATTGTAGTGGTGGATATTGTTGTTGATATTTTTATCAAAATAAAGTTATACTGTATACAGTAATCATGAAAAACAAAAAAATCTATTTTTGATCCGAATTGGGGTTGTTAGACTGTAATAAGCATCCAAAGCCATGCATGTCCTTCATGTGGCCTAGACCCAATTAATAAAAAAAAGGTATTGTTTTGTACAGTGTAGCCTAACTACAGTAGTGTGCTTGTGTGTGGGTGAAGGCGGACTGTATCAAAATGGACGTAAGAATCCCAGCACGCCTTCAATCAATATTGAAGGGAAAAGCTCCGAGTTTCCTTTCTTATCGTCAATATTCACTATAGCTCGTATCACGAGATTTTCACGTGGAAAGCATCGGAGTGCAATTAATTCATCCATGCAATATTTCTATTTGATAAAAAGTACAATATTGTGTGCAGAATGTTCATCCAAATTAGATCTAATCAAAATTTCACAATTATGTGAAATCTGTAGGTGTTCCGAATGACCGTGACTCTTGCTATAAAATACTGATCATAATCTACTGTACGATACTATAATTTACATGATGGCTTTGGGTAAGAATATTGTAGTGTTCAGTGTCCATTGCACAATAATATAGCGCAGCTTGCAAATGTTTTTGGTATAACTGTACTGAACAATGCACGTCTCACAAAGGTAACGTACATAATACAGGCTAACATAAATAAATAGATCAATATTTTAGTTTGATTATACAGCGCAATTTCGCCCATTTTACGCTGATCGATGATGACCATCTATCGATAAATGGCTGACAAGTGCAGAAATTAGTCAACGTTTTCACTATACTGTACTGTAAATATTATTGACTGTTGGTAATGACACAGTGTATCCCATGGCTTCGGTCTGCTTCACTTTGACTGTACCGTTTGATCTTGAGTAGATCACACAATAATCTTAATAAAGATGAAGATTTTTTCGTATAGCTAATAAAACCTAGAAAAATTGACCATTATTGTCCGGTGTATGACAGTGATGTATAGTATACTGTATTAGTATGCTGATTGATTGATTGATTGTAGTACCTATTGGATAATTAATGCCATCGGGGCTAATAATTATTATTTACTGTACAGTGTATAGTACTGTATATTAATTATCTTTCTACTATATTATATATATATACAGTACTTTGCTGTGTCAAAGGACAACAGTTGAATTTATAGCATCATTTATTTGTTCATCGAATACGAAAAGATGTTCAAAATCGGCAGACATAAATTAATGATGGAATAAAATAATTTGGTTTAGAACTGTACGTGTATAGTTTCTATGGACTGGATAAAGCAATCGTAGATTAGAGAAAGAAGTATTGATTCCATCGATTCCTACAATATCATCGAGTTTAGCTTGTACTGTATCTCGGAGTCTTGATTCCTAACTTGGTAATGTTGTCGAATATTATTCATCTCTATTGGCCCCATAACGAGATTGAGAAGTGAAACATTAGTCAGATAACACTACTCGATGATACTGTAAACTACTGTACAATAATAACAGTCTCAAATGTTAGCGATCAATGATTGACGAATGGCGACGAATGACGATGAATGACGATGAATGACGATGAATAGTGATTGACTGCAGATAAACCCGGCGGGAGCTAATTTGCATGATTACAATATACAATACAAATGAGAAAACAAGTCAAACCAGTTTGTAGGACCAGTGTAGAGTTGTTATTTGATATACTTTCTTTTATGTAATATAAATATCTAGATTCAGTATTTAACCACCAGTTTCCCTTCTACATCGAGCATTGCATCTTGCTCTTGAAACTTTATTGCGGCTATCTGCTATTTTTGAGGAAGTTGGCATTGATTCTTAGGACCGATTACCATTTGCAAGATGTTATTCTGGTTGTTGTGGCAGCATCATTTTAATGAGGTAATTTATTGGCTAGCGTATGTTTCTGTAAATTTTACTTAGTCAATTGATTGGTCAGCTCATTCTTAAATGTTTCAATGCAAAATTCTACTAGCCGATTTGGCTATACTCTTGACCAGATACTTGTAAAATAGTACTAGTGAATTGCCTAGCCTGCTGTATTTTACTCAATGTAGTTACGCTTCATATCTGACAAAAATTTGCAGCTTATGATAATGGAAGAGAATTGATTGAGTAGTAGCTAAAGATTGATCACTGCCTAAGAGTTTGATGTTCTATAGACGTTAGCCTTGATTGCCTTCTTAGATACGAGCCCATTTGTTCCCCGAGTCGGACCTTTAATGCTATTGGAGCATTTCTTCATTTTATCCATGATTCATTTTAGTGCCTCAATTTATACATTATTTCAAGGCTGGCTGTACGCTTACTAGTTACTACACAGTAGAATAGTTTAGTCCAATATAAAATGATTTCATCCGTTTCGTAAAATGTATACTTTATTATTTAATGATACCTATATCAATACAAATATCCAGTGACTTTAAGTCAATTAAATACCGTATGATACAACATGATTCGCTTATTCTTCGTGTTGATTAGATCCTAACTCAGTAAATAGTTTCAGCTTTGCAAATAATCCCCAGTGCCGATATAATGTAAACTTTGACCACACACATAACATGAATTTGCATTAAAAAAAAACCTATGATAGCTTTTCTGTCAACTCTGCTAGTACAGTGCGCATTTCCATTTCTTACTGCAGTAATTAGCAGCAGTGAGAAGAAAAATTAAAAATTTTTTGGTGAGCATTTTTTCTCCCATCCTGTAAGCTCTTACCAGACACAAATGTCTATATGGAGGTCATGCATGATTATACCCGTCTACGGTTGATATGCTTATCCATTATTATCGACTTTTAAGTCAAAGTTTTTCGATTGCATTTAAAAGTCTCCTACTTTAAACAGAGAAGGCTGTATCGAGATTTTAAACTGATGAAATTCACAGAGATCGAATGATCACCGGCTTTCTTTACCGTGATGACGTATTGTGAAAATTTTTTTTTGAAACTCCATTGTTGGAAGAAATCGTAGGGTTGTTTACGTCTGCGCAGTGTACCGTCTCGGAATTTCGCTATTGTCTTTTGCCAGACCATGAAATCGCAAGTCCCAACCAGTTTAAACTGATCTACAGTACTATACATTGTACAATACGCTTAGCGTACAGTACTGTCCACTCCAGTCCAGTAGTAAAAGTGCACAGTTTGTACTGTAATGATTTCGTACAATGTACTGTACAGTATTGTACTGGAATCTGACCGCGTGCTGGGCAAAGTCCAATTTCCTGTATTGTACTGTACTGTGAGTGTACTGGCATTTATTCTTGAAATCAATACAATACGCTACAGTATCACACTTTTGGTAAGACAGCGTAGGTAACCTCTGCCCAGTACGGATTGACAACATGGAGGATGCTACCGGTAGAACGCCGGCTGGAAATTTCTACTCGCTATCCTACTGTACTGTACTGTATGAAATGGATCCTTATTAAACTTAAACTTAATACTAAAACCAATTTGCTTTTTATTCAAGTAAAAATATGATGCAATATTTCAACAGTGCAGTAAATTCACGAGTCCGTTCTCTATGGCCACCAAACTAGTTTCTGAATGAATGAAACTTTGCTTGATAGTTTCCAATTTGTGCAACAATGATCTCTTAATGTTTATAGTACAGTATAGAATTATGAGTGAATTAATTAATTTATGGACGGCATAGGAGCGTAAAACCGGCTCAAAGTGCACAGTCTGCAGTTTTCAATCATGACATCATTCCCTAAATTATTTCCTACAAAAAGGAAAATTCCTTGGAGACCACTTACTGAGTGGCGATCATAAGCATGAACGCGTGTCGATTGAGAAAAGGCTTTGATCAATCAACTACGGAATGCGAAAGGACATTGAAATAGTGACTTTAACCTATTGACTCGATAAATCAAGTCCATTACTCAACTACCTACAGTAGTACTGTACTATAGCTTGCTCAAATTGAATGACATCTTTCCATCATGATGTCCATTGTTCAATGGTAATTTCAAAATTAAGTGAAGTTCCCATACTACTGTGCATACGTAGATCGTAGATCACTTAACCTCAATGAACGTGCCTTCGATCATAAATATGCTACTTACGTCCAAACGTTGGATTGATTGTCAATGACAATGTACCACTTGGACATACACAATTGTTAAGATTTAGTAATAGGTAAACAGAGACACTTTACCTATCCTAGCATTTTAGTGGCCTTATTACCCTAATAATAATTATATAGTGATGATTAATCTACAGTAGCAGTGCTTGTACGCGTATACTGTACTTCCTTCTTGGAGTACGCTTATCTTTACGCTTCTGTTATTATTACAGCGCGAATTGGCCAATTATGTTCACTATCCGACCAATATCTTTGAATTACGTTCTTCTGGAAAGCCGAAGCAAAGTAGCATCGTCACGATGTAAGCAGCAATATTCAATGTATATTGTAGCTACCGGTTCATACCGGATAGCCTACTAGATTAAATTGAAAATAAAATGAAATTTATTTTCTACAGATTTTCAATATGGAATACGATGATGGGCACTTCGTTATTGGCTATGCCTTGGGCCTTAGGCCAAGTAAGTTGTATTTTGGATGATAAGTTATTGTGTCGTTAGTCCTGTACTTAGATACACCAGTAGGGTGATTACTGGCTAAAATAATTGACTACTACTCTCAGTAAATTGTCGATGTACTTTATGTAATAAGTAATAAAATTTATTTAAGAAGTAATTGATAAAGAGCTTGATGTATGCCTTTCTATCGTAATAACAACTTAAACCTGCTTTAATAATAATCTTTCTAGGCCGGATTATTGCTTGGACTTGGTATCATTTTGATTATGGGTGGAATTTGCCTTTATACGTGTTATTTACTGGTGAAAAGTGAATCTCACTATAGTACGTTCCAAGTTAAAAAGTCTCATAGAGATGACAAAGTAGCATATAAGGCTGAACTGAATTTAAAATAATCTAAATTTGATCCGACATATATCATCATGTTCGAAAGATGGTGACATAATGCGATAGCCACTCTTTTGCTTTTATCGAAACACGTAATCCGATATTTATACATTTTTGAATCTTTTCAGAGCAATTAACATCTAAAAAGAAGCTATTTGAAATTGTCAAAGACCCCGAAGCTGGTACAATTCGCAAAAAGCCAAGAAGTAAGTTAAGCGAATGGAAATACGTTTGTTTATTCATTTGAAGTATATTAATCTAGCGGATTATATTCGTACGTACCTTGTCACTAAGGATTGAATAAATAAAATATTTAAAAGTATATTAACAGAGATCGTATGTTATGTATTAGTAATAGAATATACAGATATAGCCAACAAATTTTTGGGCCGCTGGGGAAAATATTCAAGCCTCTTCTTCAGTATTTTAACCATGTTTGGATCATTAATCGTATATTGGATCCTAATGTCCAGCTTTCTTTACAATATCGTCTTATATATAATCGGTACGAAGTCAAATCGATAATAAATATTTCTTTTATATGTATAGACTTCTTTATAGATGATGTTATTATGCATATCTAGGTTTACAATACAACGATGGTGGTGTTACAACAAATTCTACTTCAAGCAAATATGATGTCATTTGTCCGTCTGCTAGCAATGCTACTACTTCCGAGCTAAACTTCTTGCAAACCGCCAATATGTCTGGATTTAATGTTGACTTATTTCTACAATTGTGGGATAAGCAAAAGACCGTACCATTATTTCTTTTAGTCGTCATGTTTCCGATTTTAAATCTCAAGTCTCCAACGTTCTTCACAAAATTTAATTCACTCGGTTTGTCTCGAATAATAATAATGACTCTTTAATATTTTTTCTATCTGTACAAAGTTTTTAACTGTATTCGTCCAATTATGTAGGAGCTATTTCAGTCTGCTATCTCATCTTCTTCGTGGTATTTAAATCTGTCCGGCTAGGGATAAACTTTGATTTAAGCGGATCGCATGGAATTAAACGTAAGCAGCTTACTCGTATTTCATGAAGCCTTAAAGGGTTCGATAAGAAAGGTGCTATTAGGCACCTATAACTTTTCACTAACAAATGTAATTTATTCTTCGTCTTCCCTACTTTCTTTAGTGGTCAATTGGAATTTTCCAGCATTGAGTGGTATCTTGGCAATGGGCTTCTTCATTCATAATTGTATCTTGGCAATTGTTAGAAATCAGGAAAATCCTAAAAATAATGTAAGTATATTCAACTAATTGGAGTTTATTATTGATTCAATCTTATTAGATTAAATTATCCAATTTGCTTCAATCATTTAATCATTATTCTCCTTACAGGGTCGTGATTTATCAATTGCGTATTTATTTGTCTTTGTTACGTATACGACGATATCGGTATGCTTTTACCTATCATTCCCTATGCATCGATCATGCATTCAACCTGTAAGTTTGTATCATGTGTATAGTTAGATCTGATTCCTACTTTCAAACTGTTATTTTTTGTTTTAATATTAATACATTAATTATGTGCTAGATCCTTTTGGATAACTTTCCGGTATCCGATATTATGGCATTTTTTGCTCGAATTGGTCTCTTTTTTCAACTGGTTACTGTTTATCCGTTATTGAACTACATTGTTCGTATACAAATTTTACTTATAGTCTTCAAGAAAGCTTGGCCTAGGTAAGCTTCATTCAATTTTTATAATCGGTGTTCATTCATGTAATGTACTATCATATTGAGATCTCCTTATTCTGCTTTGGTCTAATTCGGAAATTAAATTTTTTTCCATCATTTAGCATTCGGCATGTTTTGCTATTGAACATCGGCTTTGTAACGTTTTGCGTCTTATTCGCTGTGTTTTATCCTCATATCGGAACGATTATAAGGTATTATTTTTCTTTCTTTAATGCATTGTAATTGTTGATATATATCATATAAAAGCATTTCATATTTGTCCGACTTTACTAGAAGCTAGAAAATCATGACTCAATATTCATCTCATAATGTATTTACTCTGCTTTATTAGATTCGCAGGAGCATTTTGTGGCTTGGCATACATCTTCACATTTCCACCCGTCATTTACCTTGTCTATTGCAAACGAATAGGAACTTTAACGACAGCCAAAATTATAATCCATGGTTTTATTGTATTGATAGGCGTAACAAATGTTATTGGCCAATTTCTGATTTTGTAAAATGATATCGTTCGAATAGACTACTGTATTACCCTATTAACGATGGTATCTCGTTTAAAAGATAAAAGACATGTATAAAAACGAAGACTGAACTAGTTATTATCATAATTTATTGGTATTGTCAACTTATTTCTGTAAAATTATTTTCCAGCTGGTTTAGGAGTAATCCTTAAAATTACTACTTTCATTGCTCTTCTATAGCGTAGTTCAATATTACTTAAGATGAAAGGTGGTCACTAGATAGCACCACGATACACATTTTTAATAATGTCTATTATAATAAATACAAATTAAATTTATTCTATAAAAATTAATTAAGACTAAATGATTTTTACTTCCATAAAATTTTATATCCATAATTATATAATTGGGATATTTTGAAATGGTATAATCGATGTATATGGTTCGAATGCTTATATGTCCGATATTATAATCAAACGTTTTTATCACTATTATTCGTATATGACTCATCTTATTGTTTATCACCGTATTATATCAGATTGCAAGATAATATAGATGTCGATCTGAGTTAAATCTATCTCATGTTAATGGATTATTTGTAAATTATTACATTATTGTTTTATAAAATATTGACGTTGAGCTGATTCCTTGTAAAGAGGCACGGTCCTACGTTTTGGCTCAAAATAAACGTATCGCGCAAATACATGTGACTAAATGTGAATTGAAGAGTTAGCTTCTAGCGATCATTGAATTGTGATATTTGCTATGGTAGCAAATTAGTCCTTTAATTAACATGCATGATACATGCATAATTTGTGATGCTACATACTTATAGTGTTGCAAATAAGATTTGGCTCGAATAGAGTTCAAAATTTTTAGTATTTCTTAACATTTTGACATTACATATGACTCTTAATTATCGTCTAATACAAAGAGGTGTATAGTAATCTTTATCATCAAAATTTCGATTGCATAATAAGTAAAACTTGTTTTTTCATGTATGCTAACATTATTTTGCAAACCTTAGTATTTCTATCTTCATGCAATTAAATTCAGATCTCATCTGATATTTGTTTGATATTTATATTAGCATATCCAGTAATTTAATGTTCTTTCACTTTATCTACCGGATAATTGGCTCAATTTATGATATTATTCATTAACTGATTGATATTTCTATCATCGATCCTGGCTGCCCTTGACTTTAATCTTGTTTTTTCTTTGTCAATAGCTTTATAATCAATAGCTCGGCAAATAAATACGTGTTTATGTCATTGGAATATTAATGACTATTAAAATGAACTAGCAGAAAGCTGCAATATGCATACATATCAAATTAAATAAAAAACAATCTTTCAGTCAATTGAATATTCAGCTTGTCATCGATTCTGCCGTAATGAGTAAATATGAAACAAACAGCCAGTTTCTTTGTTCTGCTCCATGGCAATTTCTCCTGTATTTCTATTCAATTACAAATGTAGATATACTGTAAATAATTTTATTAAGTTGATATTGAACTACTTAGATTGATAATATATTATTCTTTCATGCAAGCGAGATACCTATAGTTATGTATTTCATCAAGTAGGCCCCTCCATACTGTGGGCTAGAACTTGTCTGACAATACAGTAGGCGTATGTCAATCAAAAGGTTATAATCTGCACTGATTGCTAATTATTTCAACAACAAGAACAATATCATATGTGTTCTCATGATAGATGTCAATTACGCCATCATCAGTTGAAAATTAAGTCTTGTCTCGGAGTCCAGCAGCTTTAGGCTACCTAGATATATTTCTTACTGCTACTCTCTAACAGTTGTAATCATGTGATAATTCCGTTAGATGATGTATTCCAATTAATAAAGCTTAAAGTACAGTAATTGAATTTATGAATTGTTGATGCAAGAGCTTATAAAAATTAGCTACCTCTGGCTTCCAGCGAATACAATTGCCACCTTGACCTTTATTATGTTATTGTTAAGACGTTAAAGCCAATAATAATACCAATAAGAATGACTATTATATCGTAATCTGGCAATAGAATTAAAATTGAAATTTTTATTCTACAGTTTGGATTTTTTGCTTTGCTATTTACTAACTATTCTAAAAGAAGTTGAAGGGAAACTGTAAAAATGCTTGACGACTTGCATTTAATGATGGTATAATTATTTTTTCAGTTCAATTTGGATACCTTGCTCGAATTTGACACTGTTGTTATTGAGACTGTTACTACCTAAGACTAAACATTCAATTTTTTTCACCCAATATTTGCTCATTAATTGGTTGAGTTATAATCATCCATGAAGGAAGTTCTGATACTGTAGCTCAGCTGTGTAACATTTATTTACCGAATGATTGAATAAAGTTATCTTTGACAATAGAGACCTTAATAAGTAATGATAAATCAACAGAAGAGCTGAATAAAGCGAACTGTTTTTGATACCTCGGGCAATTGATAGAATGGAATAATTGTATTCAAGCAGGAGATTGTGCCTTTTGGCCTTATGATTAAAGTGATTAATGAAAGATAGATAAAATGTAGGAAGGGCAAGAGATTAAAAAAAAAATAATGCGCTTCTTAATCATATTAAGTCAATTGCATAAATCCAATGAATACTAGAAGCTCGTAATGTATATAATTCGATCTCTTGCCAAAACAAGCTATCATATTTTGCGACTTTTCTACTTATACCATAGACGATATACCTTGTAAAGAAACGATTTGCAACGATAATGAAATAATGGCAATTTCCTTTTCTATTAAATTCATTTTTTTTTATAATACTCAATTAGATCAGTTTGCCTCTTGTTCAGCGCGATGTTATTGTACTGTATTTTAATAGTTGCTAAGCCACATCTAGCTTTTCATAATTTTTTGTTATGTTATCTATAATTATTATCATTTATCTCGCCAAATGATTTTTAGTATCTATTATTTTTTCTCTAATATTAAATTCAAATTAACAGTTAAAACGTACTTGTATTATTATTTTACGGACTGCCTACAAGATTTGTTTTGATGTATTTTGTTATAATTGTTCACCTTTGTTGATTTTAGTTCTAGGCTATTGAAATAGGGAGTCAATAAAAAATCAGGCATACGTTACATAATGGTCTAGCGATTAGCTGGAAATCAGTTTGTAAAGAAAGGTACAAACAACATCATAGAAAATGATCACTGAATCAATATTATCGAGAGCGTGATTCAGGTTCTTTACACTCTATGACTAACTAAACAGTTTGATAACTAAACCCAATTATCTCGATATTAGATGTAGTGCAGTAAGTTCTCAGCTCTCTTGAACAATATACACGAACGAAGTGAATAGACAAATTAAGTAAATTTCTATTACCTTTTCTGCTTAATGGGAGAAAGAAAAATTGACTCGCTAACGCTAGTTATTAATAATACGCGTGTTGCTTTTCAACGCCAAGTTATTTTAGCTCTTTTCTCGTTTTTGCTGTATGGACCTTCTTAGAAGTAAAATTAGATATTGTAAAGCCCAATTTTATCACTGTACCGAAGACATTAATGCCAATATTTTGCAACTAATTTTCTCGTCACTTTGACCTAAGGTAATTGTTTTTCTGTTTGCTTAATGTCCATCTGTAAACATTTAATGTAAAGTTTTCTCCCTTCATTCGAATAAATCAATCAATGGCATTGTCGTAATCATTAAAATTTGAACAAAAGCTTTTGGGCCCTATCGTATTAAAAGGAAGCATAATGAAATACGATGGCCAAGATTGGATTACGGTAATTTAGCACAATTAGATATTCTCTTGACTTCCACCATATGCTACATGTCTACAGGCCCATTAATAGGTAATGGCTTGTGAAAACGGCAAAATTTTTTTCATCTCATAAGATTTAGTGGACTTGATGTTCTTTATTCCTATTTTAAAAATTTTTTTTATCTCTTTCCCTTTTTTGTCCTACTAATTAGCATTAGATACTGTTCACACTGAGACTGTACGATAATTGATGGATTATTTATTTAATCAGCACCGTATAAAGTGTTATGCATAACATATACGGCATATTATACAGTAATCTACAGAATAATAATTAAAATTATAATTACATTAAGCATCGCTCAAGTTTTCCTATATACTGTACAATAGCCCTTCCAGCAGTTGAATGCGGGGCTATAGCCCGATCCACGTTTGTACAGAAATCATTTTTTAACAACTTTTAACTGTCATAGCTAAGCGAGCTGCTCAGCCATCACTTATGGCATCGCATGACAGCTGCGTGTATTTGATTTATACTCCTGAGTTCACTTGGACAGTTTTTATTCCCTTTCATATTCACGCTACCAGAGGCCAACTAATGTTATTTCTATTTTAAGATGGCGGAGATATGCAACGATAGTGTCACAAAACGGCTAATGGTCTGTTATATTGTATATGCTGTCTTGATAGAATACGTACACTGTCAATACTGCTGAGATTATTATTGCAGCTTCGATTATAGTACAACTAGCTACTAAAAGACAAGAAGTGACTGTCTCACAATTAATAACTCAAATTGTTGATTGCAATATGTGGAGTAAATGCGCTGTAAGTATCAATATCGCTGTTTGAAATATTGCATTCAATGGCGCAGTGATTGATGATCCAATATGGCACAACACTATTGTAAGAAATTACTGGAACTTTGCGTTGGATTATTAAATTATTTACAGTCCGTAATGAATTTACTATCGATATTGAGTTTGTTTGATATGGATTTCAGGAATCAGTGGATCTCAGTATCCAAAAGTACACAATCATTTATCGTAACTGTCTATATAAACGTATTGCACAGCACAGTATTTACTTATAATTAAATTGCCAAGACTAAAACGTACGTAACATAATTAGTGGGAAAATTTAAAGCTCTAAGGCGTTACTTAGTATAGTCTCATTGATTGAGTACCTTATGCAAATTATAATTTTTGATCAGCTCAAGCAAAGGCCATATTGCTATAATGTGTCATAATCAACAGTGTAAGACTTTATATTTTAGGTAGGGAATGAACAGTGCACAAGACAA